GCCAGTCTGATTCGGGCAGTGTGTCGACTGCTATTGAATGTACCTTTATATCTTCCAATTTTCAGGGAGTTTCAGGATTATCGCGGGTCTCACTGTATTATGGCTGAATTTGTGGTGAGCAAGTATGAGGAGGAACTTGAGAAATTCAAACAACTTGAAAAAGGTTAGAAAGGAAGTTTTTTTTAAGTTTATTTTACTTATTTTTTTATTTTAAGTTTATTTTATTTTATTTTTTTTTAGGAAGTTTACTTAAACAACTTGAGAAGGGTTAGAAAGGAAGAAGTTTTGGGCTTTCTTCAGTGATTTCGTCTTGTTTGCGGTAAAGAAAATGCATGACTAGGCTAATTTGGTTGTTCATATGGGTAGATTGGATTGCTGCTGTGAATCATTAGAATTACTGAGACATCCCGGACATTCAACGTGTTGATCCTATAACTTATTAAGATTTTATGTGATGCAGTCACGCAATATGGGACAGCTACACCGACACTTTTAAACTTAAACTTACTAAAATTTTTGTAGATTTTTGTCGGACGGAAGTCGTATTAAAGATGGGTCGTTTTTTGTCCATTTACTTTAAGCGCTGAATTTTTTAGATTATGCATCAAAAAATTCTGTAAAATTTAAGTAGTTCTAATTGCATTTTTTCAAGTATCTCTCTCGCCAAGTGATCACGACTGATGTGTCTAGTTTTCTATAGTGTGTCTACATTGTAATCGACGAATAAGGAGACAAAGAGAGAGAGGGAGAGTTGATACGTGCACGCTCCATCAACTCGTTTAGAGGCAAAATTTGGTTTATTTTGCTTCAGTTCGGCACTAAGTTTGCTGGCTAAAATTCTGTTCATCGAAGAGTCTTGTTGGTCGGTTATGATGGTCCTTGTGACTGGCTTATAAATGTGAGAAAGTGAGCAGAGCTGGAGATAGTTCTTCAGATCTTCCTTATCGCCTTTTTAGTAAAGCAAAACAGCTTTCGCACTGCCGGAAGGCAGCCCATTTTCATTTGGAGAGCTACTTGCATATTTTATTTTTTCGAAAAATCGAGCATCAGGTTTATTTCTCAAGGTGGCCTAATTGCGGCTGCGCCTTTTTTTTTTTTGGTTTGTCTAACGAATGAGTCCATTGCGGCATGCTCCGTTTTCTTCTTTGTTACTTGATTTGGTAATTCTTTATATGTTTCTACTTCTTTAGCTGCTATTCAATTGTTTACGATGTAAATGCCTTGTGCTGCCTGAGCTGGATTATTTTTCGCTGCTTTATTTTCTGCTTTCTAGATCGAGAGAAAAATATGCATAGCAGGCAACAACTCGAAGGACAGTTAACGGAGAACAATCTTATTCGAACG